CAGTAATGTTAAAAGAAATCATATAAATATAGGTATTAAATGGAATGTTGCAAAGATGTAGTCTTTATAAACCTCTGACATTCTAAGAATCTTTGGTTCCTGATGGAAGACACTACTAAGAGCCTTTAGTCAGGCAAATAGCTAAATTGTGTTCTGTTGGAAAGACACATTAGAAACACATTAATTATTTGAGGCAACTGGGGTACCATTTTTTCACTCTAACATTTCAGCGATCTTAAAAAAGGGAAATGGAAACAATGGACTAGCAACTAAGCCTTGTGGTGGCCTGGAAGGCTTAGTGACTGCTCTAAGTGTTCAGTATTCATAGAAATGTGGTGCTTTCTCCCCATTAAGGGAGTGTGTTGCTTCCACTGAGCAATCAAAGCAGTGAGTGCATGGAATTGACTTTTGTGTGTTGTGTAATGTGAGGGTTTCACATTTTGGGCAATTCTCCATTACATGTAATGGCGTGTATTTGCCAAGTAGTTGGTCAGAAATGTAGTTTAGTTCCTGGTCATGGACCTATGATCCTGAGCTCACTACGAGGGAATCCGTATTCATTTTCTAAGGGACCCTAGGTCTCTCTCAGTGACACTTAAAGAAGTTAACTTTGTTAAGGAAAAAAGATGTGATGACAATAACGATCTACTTGGCATTTTAAAAGACCCAGGGCTCCTCCCACTCTTCCCTGGAGAAATTACCTAACTGCTAATTTGCTATGCAGAAAAGCCTTCCAAACTGCCTGCTGCCAGATTAGCTTTATTAGGGATACAAATTAACTTGCTTTGAGTTGTGGGCTTGTCTTGTGGAAAAGGATGCAAACAGATTACTGAATGAAAACAAGTGTATAGATGCCCACTTACCATCAAGATGTTAGAATTAACTAAAAGAGCATATTAGTAAGTTGGTCTTTTTTCTCAAATTACCAAGCAGGTGGGAGGTTTGAATTGGTATCTTTTGTGAGCTCTAGGTTTGAAATGAAGAGAGTGTGAGTTTCCCTCCACCCCCGATTATCTTCTGTTCATTTTAATTTGAAGTTCTCAAAGATATTTCAAAGTGAGATACTGTTCTTTCCCTTTCTCTTTCAAAGTTTAATCAATTAGCATTTGACATGTGTATGAAATGATAAGCATTAGCTAGCATAATAAAGAAGCAGGAAAGCAATTTGTCTTTTCCAGCTATATATTTGAAAAATTAATCACTGCTTATAAATCCTTCCCAAGTCCTTGTTCCCCCCCACTAACAAATGAGTTTGTATTCTGAAATTATTAAAGAGTAATTACAGTATAAACAGAAAGTGGTGAGTATGGGAGGGTTGACTGATTTGATTCTATTTAGCATTTGGCCTTCTCTTTTTATCATTGTTAATTAAATAAGCTCAATTTAGGTTGGAGAAGGTTGCTAATGTATGCAATGTATGCAACATTGCTATGAAATCTTTAAGATGCTCTAAACTGTAGATACCCTATACAACAGAAAGATCCCTCTACAGAGACTGGGGATCAAATCCTGATTCTGTCACTTTTTGTGTGGCCTTCGATAAACAGCTTATCTTTTATGAATCTCAATTTTCTCATTGTAGATAGCATGAATGTAACATTCTATAGGAAATGGCTGTGACAATTATGGAACATCTTTGTATGATTTTCCATAAAATTAGAACATCATCTTGATCTTCTTCTGTTCTACATCTAGTTTGGCCTGCAGAGGATTAACATTGACTTTCTGATGCCAAGATCAAGGACAGATAATAGTTATACTTTAATGTAATTGTCAGAGGAAGAGCATAAACTTTGATGTGTAAGTGTGGCATAATATGCAGTTTTTAATGCAGTTCTGTCTTTTAAAACTTTTTCTTTTGCCTTTATGGGGTTATTCTTGCATAAATCTGAGTTCACTTGAGGGAAGTTTCCAAGTAGCAGCTGGGTTATTTCTGGGTTGAAGGTATTCAAACCTCTGACTAAATCTTAAAAACAGAATAATTTTCTTCCCTCAGATAGTAGTGTAATGGGAAAGGTGGTTGGACTATTTGGATGAGTATATAAAAGCTTAAATTAAAATATGGGGAGAGAATACTTTCATAGATTCATTTTCTAGTTATAACATGTTATCCTTCCCTAGCTTCATAAAGAATCCTCTAAGATTATATGAACACAAAACCCAAACAACCAACACCACTGGTTCATTAATGTCACACTTCATCCATTCTTCCTGTGTGTTCAAACATCATACAACCTTAAAGTAAAACGAAGAAAAACAAAACAAAAAACAAACTAACCCCCAAAGTAAATAACAACAACAAAAACTACTACCAATACCATAACCTACTACAACAAAAAGCCAAACCCTAAGCCATAAGTAAGAGATATTTAGAAGTAATTTAGATTGTTAACATTGCTGTGTTTCAATAGCATAAAGACTCTTTACATAATAGAGTTTATATGTACTTAGACAATGATTAAAGGGATAGAAAGAGTAGAGATTCCAAATGTAAAAGATTTAAATTTCTAACACATTTCTGTAGTATGACTTTAATAAACCACCAAAAGTTTTGAATGTTCCAGTTCTCATTCCTTAACTGAAAATTGCATTTATTGAGAATCATTATTTAAAATTCCTACATACCTCAATCAAATGCATTTTGAAGAATATCTTTACATTATTATTATTACAACAACCTATAAAAAAGGTATATTCTAGCCATTGAAGAAACTAGTTTCAGAGAGTTTAAAAGTTATATGCCCAAGGATTAAAGTTGTTTTAGTGGTAAGACCAGGTTTTGAACCCTATTTTCAAAACTGATGTTCATTTCATTCCCGGTAACATCTACCTTGCCTACTGTATAAGACTATTTGTAAATGTCAAATAAAATAATATGTTTGAAAGCATTTTACAAAACTAAAATTCTGTTATAGATCTGCATATATGTTGAATGTATATGTGATCTCTCCCTTTTGGGGAGATTTCATGAGAAACTAAGCCACATGTAAACAATGTGGTGTAATGGAAGGAATTTGACTTTTAGGATTAAATGGGGGTTTAAAAAGGTCTTGTGGGATGTTATTTTATACTTTATCACAGTAGAACAAGATCCATGGCTTTGCCTTTGACATTTTCCTCATTCACAACTAGTTTATCACAGCTTATTCCTCTTCCTGATTCATATCCCAGCCATGATTTCTCAGAGATACTTTCCTTGAATACCCAATTTAATATCCCATTTCCACTATGGTACTTTTACTGTTTTCCCCACTTTTAGCGTTTTAACAAAATTTATTATTACTTACATTACTGATTTTTATTGTTATTATTTGCTTGCTTACTATCTTCTTTAGGGGGACCTGTCTTCTTTAGGTGCCAGTTAGGCTGGCCATTAACTAGCTATATGACAATGCAAGTTACTTAACTCTTCTGGACCTAAGAATTCTCATATTTTAAAATACGAGCAAAACTACAGCTTCCACAGAGAGTTTTCACATACATTATTCTTAAAATAAGGAAATGAGAAAATCAGACTCAAAGGGCAAACAAATCTTTTTCAATTCTAAAGTTTGATATATCTAAGTCTTTGATGTATAGCTTACATGTATTTGGTCTATAAGTAATCACATAGAAATATGTACAAAGGCATATTAGGATTTGGAATCCTTCTACATTATTTCTTTTCTCCTACTGACTATTCATATTATTTAAGATCCAAGTATGCTGTGACTATTACTATTACAAATACACATTCTGTATATTTGCTAGATAGTGCAAGTTTTTAAAGTTGATAAAATATGATATTTTTATAAGTATTTTTCCTTAGAATTTTAGTCAAGATCTTGTTTAGAGTTATGATCAATGCGCAACAATGATAGTCTCTGAAGAAATCTACTCTTTGTCTGCCTTTATCATTGTATTTCACATTTATCGTATTTGGGGTCTATACAGATAGTGATCATTCACTCCTCACTGTTTTGTTCCATCAGAATCATTCTTTGCATGTCACTTTTTTTTCTAAAACAGGAATTTAGGCTTATGTAAGGATAACACTATGTTTCAAACTAAATAAAATGAAGAACTTCAAATTTTTGGTGATGACACTATTGAAATGATTGTTAAAGTGCATTTCATTTTCGAATCAAAGGATCATGCCCTAGAAGAATAAAAGGACCAGAAAGGAAACTTAATGAATCTAATTTAATTCAATATTTATTTCTTGTTTCCATTGCTCAATTATTTTAGGATTTAAAATGTTATTAAATCGCCTTTGGAGTGAACTCTAAGTTTTTAGGTTCTTCCATAGCCTGTCTGAAAGAAGTCTTTGGGGGGGTTGGTTGAACTGCAAATTGTATTTCTATTTTCAGTGGCTTTCTAATTTAAAATTTTCTTTAAAATTTTTACCTCTCCAAAATATTTTTTTACTTGAAGTGCACAAAATTAGGATAATCATTTCTTTTTCATAACATTTACATCATTAGTTATACAAGGTATTTTTATTTATTTACTTACTTATAATAAAATAAACACCCAAGAACCCATCACCCGATACAAATATTAGAATATCAGTAATAACTAACATCCACTTAGTCTTCCACTAACTTGTTCCAAATGATCTCAACCTTCCTGTGTCAGGCATTTACCCATTACCTCTTCCACTCACCTTTCCTTTCTTACCCTTACTTTCATTCTCACCATAACCATTGCATCCATTGCCCTTAGTCCACAAGCTCTGTTTTACTAAAAGAGGATGTGGAGAAAAGGGAACTCTCGTACTGTTGGTGGGAATGAAAACTGGTGTTGCCACTCTGGAAGATAGTATGAAGGTTCCTCAGAAAGTTAAAAATAGAAGTGCTCTATGATCTAACAATTGCATTACTAGGTATTTACTCAAAGAATACAAAAACACTAATTCAAAGGAATACATGCACCCTGATGTTTATAGCAGCATTATATATAATAGACAATTATGGAAACAATCTAAGTGTTCATTGACACTTGATAAAGAAAATGACACAGTGCTCATTTTGGCCGCGCATATACTAAAATTGGAACAATACAGAGAAGATTAGCATGGCCTCTATGCAAAGATGACATGCAAATTTGTCAAGCATTCCATATTTTAAAATAAGAAGATGTGGCATATATATACATAATGGAATGACCTGGATGGTGCTAGAGAGTATTATGCTAAACAAAATTAAGTCAGTCAGAAAATGACAAATACCATATGATTTCACTCATATGTGGAATTTAAGAAACAAAACGAGTGAACAAAGAGAATAAAAAGAGAGTGGGAGGTAAACAAAGAAACAGACTCTTAACTATAAAGAACAATCTAATGGTTAACAGAGAGGAGATGGGTAGGTGGATGAGTTAAATAAGTGATGGGGATTAAGGCGTGTACTTGTGATGTGCTCTGGGTGTTGTATGGAATTGTCGAATTGCTATATTGTACACCTGAAACTAATATTACACCCTTTGTTAACTGGGATTTTAAACCTTAAAAATGGTGATTATAATAAATAAATAGGGGCACCTGGGTGGCTCATTTGGTTGCGAATCCAACTCTTGACTTATGTTTAGGTCATGATCCCAGGGTTGTGAGATTAAGCCCCATGTCAGGCTCTGGGAGAAGGAAGCCTGCTTAAGATTCTCTCTCTCTATCCCTCTCCCCACTCTCCTACTCATGCCCATTCTCTCTCAGTGCCTCTTTGTTTCTAAATCAATCAATCAATCAAAATGATCTGTAAACATTCTTGGTTGTAAGCAACAGAAATTGATTTTAGTTCATTGGAATTAACTAGAATTAAACTTATTTAATAGAATTTAATGGAATTCAACAGAATTAACTAGAATTAAGCTGGTTCAAATCAACTGTTCTGCTTAAGAACAATTTTTTTCAGAGTGTAAGCAAAGAGAGGTAAAGAACCAAGCTTCAAAGGAATAAGAGCTAGAGTAACTACAGCAGAAACACATAGACAGTTTTTTTTTGTGGGGACAGGGTATGAATCAACTCCAGGTTTTCAAATGCATGATTGGTCTGGCTCAAAATCATGTACCATAAGACTGTAATGGACAGAAGAACAGATTTCTCAAAGCAAAAGTTAGTTTTCTATTTTATAAAGAAAGGGAATGAACGTTGAGACCAATGGCAACACAAATGAATAATTACTTTCATCACTTCAGAGTCTTGGGCTAACTGAATTTAACACTGCAATCTTTGCAGTCAGGTCTTTTGTTTGGGAGCCATGTATATGCTTTGTCCAAGTGATGCCCTAAGGGGATTAGGACTGCAAAGCCCCTTGCTTTACTAATCCTGTGCAACCTTGATTTCTCCTTCACGTGTGGAATTTTTCCTACCTTATCCAGAAAGCAAAGCCTTTAAAAATCCTTGTATGTAACACAGGAATAACATGATTACATGTAACATAGAATATTTGTAAGTCTCTGATAAGGGAATGAAAGTAAAGTGACATTTTGTGCATCATAAATTACTGTATACAACTAAAGTACTATTATTATTTTATTATGTTTATATTGTTTAAGCTAAAGGCAATGTAGAGTAGCAGTAGTAGTTAAGAGTATGAACTCAAGAACAACAGGACTAAATTCAAATTTCAACTATTATCACCTTGGGTAAGTGACTTGAACTTTAAATGGCTCATTTTCTTTGTCTTTAAGTTGAGGACACTAGTAGTGCCTTTTTCAAAGTGATCGTTTTTAGGGTTAAATGAATTCATATATGAAAAGCACTTAGAACAATTCCTGACACAAAATAAATGATATAACATCATTTCTATTATTATTGTTGTTGTCTTTCTTGTGAAAGCTAGTATTTTGAGTTCTACTTTTAACATTTATTTCAAGATTTATAAATACAACTATACCATACTGCTATGCCTTATTTAGAAGTTTTTCTGGAATTATATTGGTGGGTGAATTATTTGTACCTCTGTGTCTTGTTTGTGCCTATGGATTATCCTTTGGGGTTAGCTCATGTTGTCCACATTTTATTATTTCCCAAAGGCACTAATAATTCTCTCTCACATGAGTTAAAATCTCTTTCATTCTTTTTCACTTACATATTGGTTTCTCTTAGTCATTTTGCAGTGTTTATTTTGCAAGAAGGGCATCAAAAGCTATTGGATTATACTGAAAGTATTTTTAGTATCAGTTCCCAGTTCAGTTTCCTTGTACAATGAATAATAGCTAGGGCTATTGGACCAACATGAAAAGTTACTCCAAATTTGGTTCCATTAGGACCAGGTTGGCTACTGCTTTTATGTATGAGATTATCAGAACATTTTTCAAAAAGGCTGCACCTCAAATTCTCACTTTGAAGACTGTCAATTCTTGGAAAAAATAAAACACAAAGTCTCTCTCTTTTTTTCTCCCATTCTCTCTTCCTCTCAGTCTCTCTTCTCCTGCCCCACACCAGAACAAAGCAAAAGCAAAAAGGCATAGAACTGAATTTTCATTTATTTCAAAATAATTTCCAAAAAATCTGGCTTGAAGATTTTGCCATGATAACACATATTTATCAAGGCAGAAAGGCATGTTATATATTAACATTTTTAGCTTGTTCAATAATTCTTAAATATTTAGACAAGTTGGCCTCCATTTGTACTCTTCTATTGTATTAGAATGGTTTAATTCTTTAATGACAGATAACTGAGTTATATTTAATATAGATGTAATTTGCAGGGAACTGATTTCAGAGAGAAATGTTGTGCTACATTGGCATTGGAGTTTCCTAAGTATTAATACATGTTTCTATTTACAACAGTAAATCCACTTATCCAACACATACTTATGGAGTTGCAATTATGTCCAGGCACTCTTTCAGGAACCAAAGGCACAGCAGTGAACAAAAAAGCCCAAAAGTCCTTGCTTTGTGGGAACTTATATGTTAACGGAAGAGGAAGATAAATGAAAGATAGGTAAATATATTATTATGAGATCACTTAGTAATAAGTGCTATGGAGAAAAGTAAAGCAGGGAAAGGGGATTAAGTACTGTCAAGAGGGTTTTGCTGGTTTATATGGTAGCCATGGAAGATCTTCGTGAGATGTCATTTGAGCTGAAGCTTGAAGGAAATGAGGGAGAAACTGCAAATGTCTGGGCAAAGAGCATTCCAGGCAGAGATAGTAGTGAATGCAAAGACCCTGTGATGAGAGAGAGTTAGGCATATTTAAGGAAGAAGATGGTAGAGGGAAATAGACAAGGGAGAGAGATGTGAGGGATGAGGTCCAAAAGGGGTCATGGCAACAAGACTCTCTAGTTTTGGCAGAGAATTATATAGACTTTGGCCTTTACTCTGAATGAGATAAGAAGCTACTGGTATTTTGAGCAGAGTAGTGACATGATCTGAATCAATTTTAAACAATATCTCTGGCTAATGTTAGATGCATTAAAGAATGGGAAATCTATAGGTTAAAAAGTCTGAATGGTGGAGCTGGGTGGGAATTCAATTAGGGAGGCATTAGTCAGAGCAAGGATCGTCATTTTAGACATTACTTAAAGATAAGCAAATCTTTCTTAAAGGGCTAACATTTAAGTATTAAAGTGTCAGTGAGCCATGCCTTCTCCAATCATTTCATATTATACTAACATCCTTACAAAGAATAATATTTTCCGGGAAAATAAAAGATGCTGGGTTTAAAAGGTTTGAAATAAAGATTTTCTGGTGTTCTAAAACACACTAATAATATACTAAGTGAAATAAATTATCGTATTTTATTTGATTTTTCAGATGGAAGAACCACCTGTATATACTCTAACATTTTAAGTTCTATCAGGGAAGCCAAAAAATTATTAATGAACACTTTAAAATTGTTTTTATAGGAACACTGTCATGAAAGAAGAACATATTGAAGTGCAAAATTAAATGCCTGTTTGAGGCATTGGTTCATCTTCTGTGGCCTTTACAATGTCAGTGTCACAATATAAAAAAAGATTCAAGTTAAGTCAGTACAGAGTGAATTGTTGGAATACAGTCCTTGCTCACTTCATTGGTGAAACTGAAGCAATATGAAAGACTTCCAACAAAATCAAAATTCCTTTTTCCTGTTGAATTTCATCCCTATCCTTTCTTTTTAATTTTGAGAATAAATACTACTAGTATTTGGTGCTGAAATATTCATTTACTATATGTCAAAAAAAACCCAGTCTCTTGAGCAGATTTCAGTTTCTCTAGTGTAATTCTAGAAACTGTGGGTTGTTAAGTCTATGTGTTACTGTCCATTATGTTTAACTATTGTGATAATATTTAAGATATTAACATACACATTAAATGGAAGTTCTCATTACTTACTCTTTTATGGTGGATGCTGACCAATCATTCTTCTTGCCTTGAAAATATAGGTGCTTTTAGATATGTACTCATTTACACATCTTTAGTAGCATATTAGTTTGTTACTTATTGAGTACCCATGAGCCAGCAAATAAACTTTCATTGCATTTCTACTCACAAGCATCACGCTGCGAGGTTAGGATCTGAGGTCCTTTCTTATAAAGTTATTGCATAACATGGAAGAACTATTTTTCTGATAAGATTTAATGTTTTTCTCCTTACTATTTATAATTTAGAAACTGTTGAAGAATCAAATTGAATTGGCATTAATGAGAACCTACTTTTCCTCAGAGCCATGCTAGGTGCAGAAGAATTATAAAGACATGATTCCTATTCTCACAGAGGTTACTACGGCTAGAGAGCCCCACGGCACAATCATACTAGAGCCTCAGAGTGGGTGGTCAGACTCTGAATACTACAGGAGCACAGAAAGGGTGGCTCCATTATGGACTTGGTTTGGTAAGGAGTCATGAAGACATGATTCTGGAACTATGGCCTGAGGTATGGGAAATCTGTGGAATGCAAGAAGTATATTTCAGAGATTCGGTCTGTTGAGAATAAAACAATATGGCTCCACTTGGATGTAGTAAAAATAGATGGGGTTATATAAGTGCCATAATGAATAATAAGTGGCTTGGTATTATTCCTACCACCTTCCAACCTCCCAGCCTGGGGGTGAACTGACTGCTCAATGATGTTTTTCTTTTTTGGTACCAAATCAAATCGTTTTTTTGGCATCAGGTAATTGTTGCTGAAGTTTTCATTCTTAC